TCTTAATTTATCTTGTCTTTCATATTTATCTATTTTTTTAAAAATAATCTTTGTAGTAATTATGTTAAAAGTTTCATCAAATGATAGTTTAACTACTATACATGATTAGCAAGGATATTCCAGAAAAGACAATACTTATTTGTTATAAATAACTAACTTAACTAATTTTTTAATCCCCAAATTAGTTAATTAAATTTTATATTAATGATTGGAGGTAGTATATTCTACCATAGTGCCAAAAATAGAAGCACCAACAAAGTTTACTTTCATGTTACATTTTTATTTTAAAAAATAGTTAATAATGTAATACTACTCCGTCCTTTATTATAAATCATTTTAATTAAATTATGCAGTTTAAGAAAAATGGTTAAAATTAGTTAAAAACAATTAACATGTAGCAAATGTAGTTTTTTTCCAAATATACCCCTATATATAAATGGATAAATGTAAGAGAGTAATAGTAAGATAAATGAAGAAAGAGAATGTATTAAATACATTAAATTAGAAGTAAAATAGGTAATACTGTATTAAATGCTCAGATAAACTCAAAGAGGATCTTATAAAAAGGGATAAGGCCATTCAAAAAATTAGATATTACAATAAGGGACGGATGGAGTATATTTCAAATTTCGCACAACTATACATATGCATATGTATGAGGTACCCATTCCAAATTAGTTAAACTACCTCCGGTCCTATATGTATGAGGTAGTTGACTAATTTAAGTAGATTAAAGAAATTAGGTAAGTTAGTTATTTGTAATGAATATGTATTGTCTTCCTTAAAATATCCTTGCTAATCAAGTATGTTGACTAGAACTGCTATTCTTACAAGGCGACTACTTTGAGAAAAATACATAAACATGAGGGACAAAGTAGATTAGGACCTTATAATTAAAACCAAAATAAAGTCAAATAAACTTTTATATTAAAAACCAGAGGTAGTATAAGAGTTACCAGAGGTAGTATAAGAGTTAGTTGACTAATTTTAGTAAATTTAAAAAATTAATTATGTTAGCTGTTTGTAATAAATAGATATTGTCATTCCTAAAATATCCTTACTAATCAAATGTATTGGCTAAAACTACCATTATTACAAGGATTACCTTGAAAAAAATGAATAAAAATAAGAGACAAAGTGGATCAAGGTCCTATATATTTGGGATCAAAATAAAAGTCAAATGAATTCTAACATTAAGAACCAAAAGCAGTAGCTCAACCAACAGGATTTGGGTATAGTAGAAGGAACTAGTTCCTCACAACATGGTAAACCAAGGTTCGAATCCTCACTGGGAGAGGTACCCACATTTGGTGCCTGACAGTATTTTGAACAGGATTGCCTCTAATAAGAATAGCTATGCTTTATGCTTTAAAAAAAAAAAAAGTAGTAGCTCATTGACTCATATAAGGGAGTGTTGGCACCTTCTTTGTGACAAAGTAAACTCAAGGTCAATTTCATCATCGAGCTTCCTCTACACACACACACACACACTATACACCTACATATATAGGCTTCCTTCGTAATATTGTTTTATATATCGAGAGGAAATAAATCATAGAAAATTTAAAGTGTTTAATTAGCTAGGAAATGTGCAAAGACGATTGATGGTGATATTAGTGAAAGAAGCACTAAATGTGGTTTTAACTATATAAAAGTTAGACATGAAATTTAATTTTATCCTAAATATAATATCTTAATTTATTTTGTTTAACAAATTTATAATTTTTTTGTTCAAAATATCTATATTGATATTGATGGCACATATTAAAGAGGTTCCTATTGAAGGAGTAGTTCTAATACATATAATTAAATATGGTGGTTTAGGAAAATCAATACAATAACTAATTTAACTAATTTTTTTAATATTAATAAATTAGTTACTAGAGGTGGTATATATGTATACAGTCTTTAGCATTATAAAAAAAAATGCAGAGAAAAAAAAAGATAGGGAAAATCCCAAAACAGTGATGGTTGAATTTCAAAATGACAAATCAGTATTGGTTACTACACTTTTAAAGAAAATGACTACACTTACAAAGCAAATAACAACATATTTTTGTAGTAATCCCTGATTTGTCATTTTGAAATTCAACAGTCACTTTTTTAGGATTTTCTCAAAAAGATACCTAGAAGGGTTATCAATTCAAATGTGATGAATAACAAATTCAAAGAGCATGTTGTAAACAATAAGTAGAAGAAAAACTATCATTAATTACTCTATTAACCTCTTATATTTTAGGCCAAATTTTTTTCTAAAAGAATTATTATATTCTGGACCGGAAGGTGTATAATCAATTCATTAGTTAATATAAACGCAGGTGACAAAATAAATTATTACCTATTATCTCACCTTTTCTAATAAAAGTGAATAAGGGTAGGTTTTGAAAAGGAGTATTACTTTTGAAAAAATTAGAGTTGTTAACTATCTTTCTTAATTCACGAGATTCAGTTAAAAAGGTTCTGAGTTAAACTCCTAATTGAAAAAACTTGACTTTTTCAAATCCATAATTCTCAAATTCACAGCGCCACTTGAATTTAAATTTGGTGAATTTAACCATTTAATCTATCACTTTAGCCAGTGTAATTGTGCGAACACATTATTTTCTTAAATGAAACTTCAAGTGATTAATCTAATCTACTACCTAATTAAGTAACTCAACTTGCACCATTGCCTTGTTTAATATTTGAAAGGTCACTGGAAATTTAATTCGTTGTATCACTGCACCCCCAGTTCGGACTTGTTCAATTAATTGGAGCTTTATTTTCCAGGCGATCTTCCTTGATTATCCAAAAAAGTTCGAATTTACTTGCAATTTTTCATCACAGTGGCACTATCAACGTTCATCCACAAAATTCAACATTTATTGAATGACCTCGATGAATCAAAGAATCAATATGGGGTTTAGTTTCTTTTGACATGAGATTAATTATAACATTCTAGTCACGCGAAGATTAAGTAACTAAGCTATCATTGAAGAAAAGATTATACTGTTTTTGTCCTAATTATAGGATCTTATTTATAACCTATAAATAAAATCTAATTAGGACCAGATAGCACATTAGGTTGCTATTGATGAGATGAATAGCAACTCGTTTATATTAAACATTGGTAAAAGTGATTTTTATCCCCACTCACTTTTGCAAATTGAAATTCCAATAGTGTGACGTATGCTTGGATATTTATTTTAGTAAAAGTGCATCCACCATGCAATGTTATTTTTTAGTTGGCATCCTAATTTGGGTGCTGAATATACCATAAATTAGATTGAGGTGTTATATGCGTAAAAAATAAGATTAAAGTGATGAATGTATCTTCATTTCTTTTATGACAAATCAGATTTGGCAGAAAATCTGTTTGAATGATATATTAAGAATATGAAGACAAATCGAAAGTCAAAAACCAAAACTAGAACAAGGTTGTTTCAATTATAACATGAATTTTAAAAGTTATTTTAACTCTCCGTTGGGAAAGGTATCCGCATGTATGGCCAGTTTGGTTGGATTATAAGAATGAGGATTATATGTAATCTTGATGCAAACATCTGATTCAATTGTTTGATCGGACTTTATAATATAAACAAGATTACATCTTGGTATCCTGATTCTCTTAAAAGCCTGCATCTAGATTACATAGATAGACCTTATGAATGGGGATTGCATGATAAGAAAAATACATTATTACCCTAAAGTAAAAGACGACTGAAGCTCCACTGCCATCAAACTCCATCCCCAACCTCATTCTCCACCCCACTCATCGTCTTTTTCTCTCCAGCCCCAACATTTAGACACACCCACCTTCTTTCTTCCTTTTTCAAGTGAACAAGGGATTTTATTGCAAATCAACCCAAAAAGTGGTAGACCTTGAGGAACTTTGGTTGGTGGTTTTCATATGCTGTCTGAACTAGTAACCAAAAGGGGTCGAAAAGAATCGTGAGTGAAGCTGGTCAGGGATGATAGATTTCCATTGCGATGAGGAAGAAGTACATGACGCTGGACTGCTGGAGGGAGGTTTTCTTCTTTTTTTGATAGACAAGGATATTTTTGTCTTTTTAATTTTATCTGTAATTAAGTAAATATAAAAAATATATTTTACTACCCCATTCCTAACATTGTACCAAACAAATTTATTGTAATCACTATTACATTACATTGCATTTCTATCCATTACATTCTCTATCATTCAGTGAACCAAACAGGCCATAGTGTCTGATAATGTCTCGAATAGGATTATTTTTAATAGAATATCTATACCTACCCAAACAGAAAAAGCTTGTCTTTAAAAATATGCCAAACGTCATTTTAGACCTAATTTTCTTTCCAACTAACATAGCCAATTTTGATATGACAAACACCATGCCCAACCCAACGAATTCAAACGTTGGTTTGCCTACGAAGGATTAATTCTTTTTGTTGTACTTGTACCCAACCAAAGCTGGCCCATTAGCATTGGTGTTGGCAACGCTAAGCTAAAGTTGGCCCATTAGTAGTTTACAAAGCCGACCAAGGAAGTTAAGCCCACCTGTACGAAAAACACCCGAAACCCATTGTACAAAGCCTTGTTTATAATTGTTTAGGCCGAAGCCTTCCTTATTTTCAAGAAAATATTACTAGTATTATTAATTGTTAAATAAATTTAGATTTTTACAGTACATGACAAACTGATAGATTATTGGATTTCTATTACTTTTCGTGAGAAATTTTTCTGGAGTTTATCAGGAAAAAAAGAGAAAAAGAAAAATAAAAAAAGGCGGGGCCCAGGGCGCCACCATGGCAAGCACGTCATTCGGCCCTAAGAACACGTTAATCAACACAATAACACTACCATAGACCTGAGACGCTAGTGATGAAAGGATCTCGTCCGTCCAATTTACCATCGCCTTCGATCCACCGCCCATCCTCGCCTTCAGATAATGGTGGCATTTTCGTAATTATGAGTTTTAACTGCAGGCTCCCCTCGCTCTCCTTTCTTCCCCATCGCCATATTTACACACTGATCTCCCATATACATACATTGCAGAAAACCTCTTCCCCTCGAATTAACTTCTGTGCTCGATCACTTGGGCTCATCTTCGAATTCGCTTCTGATCTCTGAGGAGTGTTCTCGATTAAAGCGAGTTACATCCCCAATCTGTGAAAATGGTGAGCTTCTTGTCTGATCTGTTCCTTCACAAGCGCTTCTGCATTTCCAACACCTTAGATCTGGAGCGAGTTGGCTTCGATTTGATGCTTCTGACTATATTGTTAACTCTTTTGAAATTCAGCCTTCTCGGAATTTTAGACTCTTAACTGCTTAGTTAGTTTTTTTGTGGTTTGGATTTCTGTGGGATCTAATGTCGAATTGTGCACTGACTTGCGTTTGTTTGTTTGTTTCTTTCTTGTTACGTGCTTTTGCAGCCTCTCAGGCTCGAAATTAAGGTACTGATATTTTTCATTTCGATTCAAGCTCTATGTTATAGTTTGGCTTCATGTCTTAAAGATATGGTGATGTTACTGTGGTTGGTTGCCGAGAAATGCTTCATTATCTTGTTAACGAGATTTGTTCATTTCGGGTTCTCAGTAACCAAGCACAGTGTGGATGTCTATGTCCCTGATTACTTAGCCGACGTCTTACTTTGCTATTTCATTGACAGCGAAAGCTTGCGCAAAGATCGGAAAGAGTAAAGTCCGTGGATCTACATCCAACAGAACCATGGTAATCCTTAATCCTTTGCTGGTTATGTCGGAAAGTTTTTCATATGAAGCTAAAGTTGGAACGATGTTTTATTTTTCCCTATTCATTACTAAAATCTATAATTGCCTTCTTAATTTGATTATTTCTTATGTGCGGCATCTGTGATGACTTTACCAATACGAAGCATGGAATTGTTAATGGGATTACTGTTGGCATTGGATGGGTAAATATTACATCGCTTGATGTTTTGCTTAATTGTGTGATGTTGCCATGGTTATTGCAGGATCCTGGCAAGTTTATACTCAGGAACTGTCTGTATTTGGAACTACCAATCCCAGGTATCTGAAATTTTTTTTAATTGAGGTTCTGTGTATTGCTATAGCTTATAGCTTGTGAGGCTTAACCAATGGAGAAATGTAATAATTATGGGGGATATATATTAGTGCAAAGCGTTGGTTCATTTTGAGGTGAATGCTCTAACAAAATGTTTTGCTGTAAGCTTCATCATATATTTTAGCTGCAAGTTAAATTTCATGCGTTGATTCTAAAGAAAAAAATGAGCTTTATCAAACTTATGGAACACTAAAATCATAACAAACAAACAACAAACCTTATCCCACTAGGTGGGGTCGGCTACATGAATCACACGACGCCATCGTGCTCTGTCAACAACCCAATCCTTAGATATGTTGTTGATTAGGAGGTCTCGTTCAATGACCTCATTCAGCATTCTTCTCGGTCTTCCCCTGCCTCTTTTTATGGGACTCCATCTTGTTTGATCCACCTCCTCACCGGGGCCTCCAAAGGCCTTCTCTGCACATGTCCAAACCATCTTAAGCGATTTTCAACCATTTTCTCTTGGATAGGTGCCACACCGACTCTTGTCCTGATCTTTTCATTTCGAATCCTATCTTTTCTTGTATGACCACACATCTATCTCAACATCCTCATTTCTGCTACTCCGACTTTGTGCTCTTGTTTTCCTTTTATTGCCCAACATTCACTACCATACATCATAGCTGGTCTTATAGCAGTCCGATAAAATTTTCCTTTAAGTTTCTCAGGTACCTTCTTATCGCAAATAACTCTGGTAGCTTTCCTCCACTTTAACCAGCCAGCTTGTATTCTATGAGAAATGTCTCCATCAATTTCCCCATCCTCCTGTATAATGGATCCTAGGTATTTAAACTTTGATACTTGAGGAATAATTTGCTCTCCCATCCTCACCTCCAAATCCCTATTACCTTGCCTCCCTCCAAAATCACAATGCATATATTCTGTTTTGTTCCTGCTCAAACGGAAACCTTTCGACTCCAAAGTCCTTCTCCATAACTCCAAACTAGTGTTAATCTCTTCTTTTGATTCCGCCATAAGAACTATATCATCCGCGAAGAGCATGGACTTAGGGATTCTTTCTTGAACAGGTTTAGTTAGAACATCCAGAACAATGTTGAACAAGTACGGACTCAGAGAGGATCCCTGATGTAGGCCAATCTTAATAGGAAAGTCCTTTGTCTCTCCCCTCAGGCGTCCTTACACTGGTAGTTACCGCCTCATACATATCTTGTATGACTTTGATATACGCAACCCGTACACTTTTCTTTTCCAAAGCCTTTCACAATACTTCTCTTGGCACACGATCATAAGCCTTTTCCAGGTCAATAAAAACCATATGTAAATCTCTTCTTTTACTTCTATATCTCTCCATTAACCCCCTTAGTAAATAGATTGCTTCCGATGTGGATCTCCCTGGCATAAATCCAAATTGGTTTTCCGAAATAGAAGTCTCCAACCTCAATCTATATTCCATCACTTTTTCCCACAACTTCATTGTATGACTCATAAGTTTTATCCCCCTGTAGCTTGCACAGTTTTGAATGTCTCCTTTATTCTTGTAAATAGGAACTAAAATGCTTTTCCTCCACTCATCCGGCATATTTTTAGAGCGTAGAATTTCATTAAAAAGCTTGGTTAGCCACACCTCCCCCTCATTGCCCAAACATTTCCAAACTTCAATAGGGATACCATCAGGCCCAACGGCTTTTCCATTGTCCATTTTCTTGAGAGCCGCCTTAACCTCTCCGATACGTATCCTGCGGTAGAAAGCCAAATTCCGATCATCTTCGTTAATTAGCAAGTCCTGCAAGTCCTGAGTCGCATAATTGCTTCCTCATTAAACAACTTGTAAAAGTAAGCCTCCCATCTGTCCTTAATATCACCATCAGTAACTAACACTTTACCATCTTCATCCTTTATACACTTTACTTGGTCCAGATCTCTCTTTTTCCTCTCCCTTTGCTTCGCGATCTTGTAAATATTTCTTTCTCCCGTCTTTGTTCCTAACTCCTGATAAAACCCTTCATAAGCTTTAGTACGTGCTTCGCTCACTGCTCTCTTTGTCTCTTTTTTAGCCAACTGATACTTTTCCTGGTTCTCTACACTATTGCACAAGTGTATGGCCTTAAAACAATCTTTTTTCTGTTTAACTTTCTCTTGCACACTCTTATTCACCACCAAGTCTCCTTATCTCTTTGACCAGGACCTTTGGATTCTCCAAAATTGCTTTAGCTACCAAACGAACCCTTGTAGCTATCTCTTCCCACATCATGTTTGCATTTCCCTGCAACTCCCAATTCCCTTCCTTCAAAAGAGTCCTTTTGAATAACTCCCGCTTCTCTCCTTTTAACTGCCACCACTTAATCCTGGGTTTTGCCACTTGATGGTACTTTTGCCTGGTACTCTTAAAACATACATCAAGGATAAGTACTCTATGTTGGGCACTCACCCCGTCTCCTGGAATCACTTTGCAATTAGTACACAATCTTCTGTCCGGATTCTTAACCAAAAAGAAATCAATCTGTGATTTTGAGACACCACTTTTGTACGTGATTAAATACTCCTCTCGCTTCTTAAAACAAGTGTTGACAATCTTAAGATCGTATGCAAGAGAAAAATCGAGAATAGATTGTCCTCCACTGTTAAGCTCCCCAAAACCAAAACCACCATGGGCCCCGCTGAATTGTCCTGCTTCTTTACCAACATGTCCATTAAGGTCCCCACCGATAAAATTTTTTTCCTCGAGTGGTATGCTTTGAACCAAGCCCTCCATATCTTCCCAAAACTTATCTTTAAGGTGTGTCTCTGCCCCAACCTGAGGTGCATAGGTACTAATGATATTGATAGTATCCTTTCCAACAATTACTCTTAACGATATTATTTTGTCCTCAAACCTTTTAACTTCTACCACGTTTTTTTTCCATGTCCCATCAGCGATGATACCAACCCCATTCCTTGTGCTCACCTTTCCTGTGTACCAAAGTTTATACTCTCCAAGTTCCTTGGCAGCTTCTCCAGTCCATTTGGTTTCTTGGAGGCGGAACACTAAAATCATACATAGTGGAAATTTTTCTTGCGTGCCTTTTGCATTCTTGTATTCAAACTGAAACATTAGAATTGTGAAATTCATTTTACAAACTATTATGATTCTGGACGGCTACCCCATGTTTATTTTTACCAGGCCCTTAGGCACACATGCATGCTTATGAGCGGAATGTGTGGGTGCGCTACTAGAATGAGTGTTTAAGTAAAGTAAAACGTGTGGCAGATATTGTACAGGACCAACATGTATATGTATAGTTAATAACCTGTCCTTAGGAAAACAAAAATAGAATGACCTTTTAGTTATTGTTTGTTTTAGAGCATGGTTAGAATCACTGTAGCTTTTTGTGCTTCGATATGTACTTTTCCTTTTGTGAGAAACAAAGAGACAATATGCCATTGGAAGAAATGAAAAAAAGAATCACAATGAGAGCTACAGTCACCGACTTCAATGTGTACTTGACAATGGGCAGCCATGTGAAATTTATGTAACCATATATTTGAATGAATAGAATGTTATTTGTATCCCATATAATACATCTTCCAAATGATGCGTGCCTTGTCAAAATAGCAAATGCTAGTAGGGGCTTCCTTTAGCACAAACTGTTCGTCAGTGACATGCATATGGCAGAGTATTTTTGGTGAGATTCTGTGGTCTTGAATATTCTGAATGTTCTTAAAGTGTAGTTAAGTTGTCAACGCAGTTGAAGATTTTTAGTGTTGTAAACTTTGCATTTTTTATTTGGTGGTTATTAGGAGTATTCAGTGACTTCTGATACTTTTCATGCTTGACTTATCATCACATCATGGTCTTAATGATCACTTTCCACGGGTGCTACACCTGTTTCCTGACTTCTATTAAAAGATGATATTTTCCTATTTTTGAACTCTTTTGTTTGAATTTTTTCATTTTTCAAAAACCTTTCTGCTTTAATCAATCAATTTTAATTTTAATTTGTCCGGAGAGTACTTAGCTCTAATGCCTTTCATGTTATTTCAGACCATGGCGAAGTCTTTTGAGGTTACTGAATTACCAGGTAGATTATCTTTTTCTGTTTTTTTCCCTCTTAATTTAAAATTTTTTTTTTTCATGTTTATCTCTCTGTCAATTGTTTAAAGGTGTATCTTTTCATTCTATTATTCTAACTTGAAAGACCACTATGGAGCTCATGTGCAGCATGATTTTGCAGTTAGGTCAGCCAAGTTTGTTGCGCGCAAACAATGGGTGGTTGCTGGAGCGGATGATATGTTCATTCGTGTATATAATTACAACACAATGGACAAAGTTAAAGTTTTTGAGGCTCATACAGATTACATTAGGTGTGTTGCCGTTCATCCTAACCTTCCTTATGTGCTGTCATCGTCTGATGATATGCTCATAAAGCTTTGGGATTGGGAGAAAGGCTGGATTTGTACTCAGATATTTGAGGGGCACTCTCATTATGTGATGCAAGTGACATTTAATCCTAAGGACACCAACACCTTTGCCAGTGCATCTCTTGATCGTACCATAAAGGTATACTGAGTTCGGGTCACTGGTTGTTTACTTCTTTTTCTCTTTTTTAATTTCTATCATGCCATGCATGACATATAATTCTCCTGTTGTCTTCTGTTTCCAGGTTTGGAATCTTGGCTCTCCTGATCCCAATTTTACATTGGATGCCCATCAGAAAGGGGTGAACTGTGTTGATTACTTCACAGGTGGTGACAAACCTTATCTAATTACTGGTTCTGATGATCACACTGCCAAGGTTTGCTTTCAATTTTATTTCTCTTAGTTTTCCTCCTTTTTCCCCTTGTTTCATTTGTTTATTTATGTTTGAATTGAATTATTACATAAAACCCATGAAACAGGTGTGGGACTATCAGGCCAAAAGTTGTGTTCAGACTTTAGAAGGTCACACACACAACGTATCTGCTGTTTGCTTTCACCCTGAACTTCCTATAATCATTACTGGTTCTGAGGATGGTACAGTACGCATATGGCACTCAACAACTTATAGGTAATATTTGCCAGACATGGGAGCTGTGAGCTTTATCTTTATGCTTATGCTACTTGGCGCTTCCTCCCTCCCTTAGTTTTCTTATGTGGGCCCCATTTTTTATGACGTTGTATGCGTTTTTTCTTTTTGGGTTCTAAACTACCATTATAGTTTAAATCAAGATTGGAAAGAGTTTATTTGCTGACTTTAAGATAATCACCTGAAGACTGTTGAATTTGAGAATGACAGACTTCATTGTTGTTCTTTACTTCCCAATATTTAAAGGCTCAACTCAGTTGGACTTTCGGGTCAGTTAACTGGTTATGTCAGACAGACATGTTGATTTCATAAATATATATAAAAATTTAGATATTGAAAGAATAATGATATGTATGTATTTTAAATCAAACCATAATTAAATATAATTGACTATGTATAATATATCTATTATATCACTTGTTTGGATAGTCTAGTTTGAAGATGACATGAATTTATAATAACGAAATAAATGTCCAGATAATATCACGTTGAATTCAAATTGTATCTGTAAAATGTGAATTTGAATACGATAAGCTACATGCAAAATTGTTTTTTTAAAGTGATGACATGGTCGATTTCAAGGACCCGTGCCAGGTTACTGGTTCCTGAAAATATATGGCTGGTTTAAATGGTTTAGGCCGGTCTGAAGCAGTCCAACAGGCAGAAGGATTTGATTTGTTTACTGGACTTGGTGCTTGGCTGTTTACCTGTTTGACTAGTTCAATTCAGGTTTCAAATTAATGCTTCATTTTTGTCCCTTATTATATTGATTTAATATAACTTGCAGGCTCGAGAACACATTGAACTATGGTCTCGAAGAGTTTGGGCTATTGGATACATGAAAGGGTCACGCCGGTGAGTTTTTAGTTAAATTTTCATCCATTTTGGTGAAGCTTGCATAGCAAGTGCCCATAGGATAAACATTTTCTGTTGCAGGGCTAAAAATTTCAGCATGTGGAAAGATATGCACACAAAAGCCAGGCTATTTTATCTATTATTAGTCAAACTTAGATAACTTTTTCAATATATCCTTGTATATTTTAAAATCAAAGAAGCCTTGCTGAGGTTTTTCATGAAAAAGCCCATTCAAACAAGCACTTTTTTCTCCTAAGCCCTCTAACAGTGTCAATAACGAAGTCTGCATGTTTGGTTACTGATTAGAGAAATTCTTTATACTGCCCCAAGGTATGATGTCAGCTTGTTGGCTTCAGTTTCATCTTAAATGAAATTGTAAATGGAGAATATCATTTTGTGAAGTTGTAAAGTTATTTGTCCCATTCCACCCTCATTACACAGCACCAAAACTTCTTTCTCTGCAGGGTTGTCATTGGTTATGATGAAGGAACTATCATGGTCAAACTTGGTCGAGAAGAACCTGTAGCCAGCATGGATAACAGTGGGAAAATTATTTGGTCTAAGCACAACGAAATTCAGACGGTCAATATAAAGAGTGTAGGAGCAGATGTGGAGGTTTGAGCTCATTTACATCCTTATTTTGTTGTCTAATATGTGAGCAAGAAGTGGAAAGTTCCTTTTTTTCACGCAACATACGACTATAATTACTTTGTTTCTTAGGTGGCTGATGGAGAAAGGTTACCTTTGGCTGTCAAGGAATTAGGCACCTGTGATCTCTACCCGCAGGTGACTGGGCATCCTTTTGCTTATATATATGTGTATATATATTTTTAAATATTTTCACGCTTTTTAACCTGTGATGTCTCTCTCTCACTCTCTATTTTCTATCGGTTCTGGTCTCACTTTGCAAACTTCGATGAACCTTAGGAAAGAACCATGGACATCATTTAGCAAGTTAACTTTTTCCATATCCTCATCATATCTTTCTTGGCATTATTTAGCTATGTAAATAAAGTAATACATTATACAGTTGATTGTGAACTGTTTTTTGTGTGCTCTTCAATCTTGTTTAAAATGATACTGCTTCCGTTGGGTTCAGAATTTTATGTAGTGACTGAACAGTTTTTTACTATTTTACTTTCAGTTTTTAAAGCACAATCCAAATGGAAGATTTGTTGTTGTTTGTGGAGATGGTGAGTATATCATATACACTGCATTGGCATGGAGAAATAGGTCATTTGGCTCAGCACTTGAGTTTGTTTGGTCCTCGGATGGAGAATATGCTGTGAGAGAAAGTACATCAAGGATTAAAATTTTCAGCAAAAATTTCCAGGTTCGCAGTTGTTTGTTTAATTTATTTATTTTTATGGGTTTGATGAAAGAAATGGTAATAAACAGCACTTCCTTACTGCTTTCATTAAGAGGAAAAATATGAGGCCTGCTGTTCTTGTTCTGGTGGTTAACCTATGCTGGCTGTTGATTTTAGTTAACCCAAACGTTATGCCAAAACAATATGACAATAGCTTGTGAAATGTGCTTCTGATTCTGAATTGGTAATAACAAGATATGTTTGTATTATGCTTTTGCATATTGCAGGAATTGGTTCTAGCTCCGGAGAATTATCTGTTATTTTCTCCCTGTTTTAGATGCTTTTAAATGAAACAAATTTCTTCTTGTGAAATTGTAACTGTAGTCCAATTGATGTGGAATCCAGGAAAAGAAGACTATCCGACCTACATTTTCAGCTGAACGAATATTTGGTGGTACTTTACTGGCAATGTGCTCAAATGACTTCATCTGCTTCTATGATTGGGCTGAATGCAGGTTGATCCGTCGCATTGATGTTAATGTGAAAGTAAGTGCTCTCATTAGATGACATGTAGTCATATGCTTTTCTTCTCCCAATTTTACAATTTATTTTACATTACCATTTTTCTTGCGTCAGAATCTCTACTGGGCTGATAGTGGTGATCTACTGGCAATTGCAAGTGATGCATCATTCTACATCCTGAAGTACAATGTGAGGATTCTAAGAAATTCATTATCTTCGTACAGTTGCTGGCTTTTGCTGAAGAACTCCTCTTTACCCCTAACATTTTTCTTGTTAATATGCTTTATATACTATGGTGCAAAGCATTGGAAACATTTAACCATTCATTATTGCAGCGTGATGTTGTTGCATCTTCATTGGATAGTGGAAGACCTGTTGATGAGCAGGGTGTTGAAGATGCCTTTGATCTCCTTCACGAAATGAACGAACGTGTCAGGACTGGTATCTGGGTTGGGGATTGTTTCATCTACAACAATTCCTCCTGGAGACTTAACTACTGTGTTGGTGGTGAGGTATTAGGTCTTGTCCCTTCTAGGTCCAAAATAAATTCATAACTACATTTTTATATTGAACTACATGATTCTTACGAGGCCTCTTGATCTATAACACTATGATACAATGAATTCAGGTAACTACAATGTTTCATTTGGACCGCCCTATGTATTTGCTGGGATATCTTGCCAGCCAAAGTAGGGTTTATTTGATAGACAAGGAGTTCAAGTAAGTAGACGTTTTGTTTTCGATATTCAAAGGAAGTGCTGTAATCTGGCCTGCTTTCTCTAATTATTTAATTATTTAATTTCTTTCAGTGTTATGGGGTACACACTGCTTTTAAGCTTGATTGAGTACAAGACTCTTGTTATGCGTGGTGATCTGGAAAGAGCCAATGAAGTTCTGCCAACAATTCCTAAAGAGCATCATAACAGGTTATAGTTAACTTTGATTACTTTGATATTAAGGAGAAAAAATTATTAGTTCTCTCTTTTTAGAAATTGGTTTATAAGTTTGAAACATGTTTTTTGTACAGAATTGTGCTTCATAAATTCTTATACCCCCCCCCCCCCCAAAAAAAAAGGAAGAAAAAAAGTTATTTTGGTATGGTTCCATGGTCAGCCTGATAGAATATGTAAATGCTTGTCATCCATGGCACCTTGGTTTTTACATTACTTTTTGTTAGTGATTTAACTAGTCCTTTTACTTTCAAGTTGTTGGTCTCTTCCTGTACGGATCATTTTAACATCACTATAATCATTTTTATATCTCTGGTTTAGATAATTGTTCTATGGGCCTTGTGTCATTTATCAGCACTTCAGATTTCAAATCTGAAGGTTGGTGCTCTCATGATCTGCATCCTAATTGTATGCTTTAATGATCTAATGATAGTGTGGCTCGTTTCCTGGAATCACGGGGGATGATAGAGGAAGCTCTTGAAGTAGCTACTGACCCTGACTACAGATTTGAGCTTGCCATACAGCTTGGAAGATTAGAGGTTGCTAAGGTAAGTTCATATACTATACCTGCAAGGAGAAATCGATGAACATTTGAAATTTATCATTCTTTCTTTCATTTGTAAATGGTTATTCTCAATATGTTAATACATACCTGGTGATGTTGTATCATTCTTTTTGCAGAGTATTGCTACAGAAGTGCACAGTGAGTCTAAATGGAAGCAGTTGGGAGAATTAGCTATGTCTACTGGCAAGGTGCTTATCTGTGTAAAACACACACACACACACACATTAGTTTTGGATGATTTCTCCAAGGCTTCAACATTTCTGCAAAATCTTTGTGCCTAAATATCCTTATCCTTTTATATTGTGCTGCTGATTTTGATCATGTATTCATGATGAATTATTGGCCTTACTGAAGCTTGTGCAAGAGTTTTGAGGTTTTAACAAGGCCCAGTTAGAAGTTTGGTTTAAAATTTGTCTTGATTCTGGTGGACTTGAATCTTGTGTCTCACTACAAAAGTGATTGTCGTTGGGTATTTCCCCTGATCCATTGAGTTATGTTCTTGCAGTTAGAAATGGCCGAGGAGTGTCTAAAGCATGCAATGGATTTGAGTGGCTTATTGCTGCTGTATTCTTCTTTAGGAGATGCGGAAGGAATATCAAAACTTGCAACCCTTGCTAAAGAGCAAGGGAAAAACAATGTTGCGTTCTTGTGCTTATTTATGTTGGGTAGGCTTGAAGACTGCCTGCAATTGTTGGTAGAAAGGTAATTTTTTTTCATATACTCCATGAATTTAGTTGCACAAGGAGCGGGGTTGTTTCAGATTAGAAGTGCAGTCTACATGTCTGACTTATGGTTTTTTTGCAGCAATCGGATTCCTGAGGCAGCTCTAATGGCACGATCTTATCTCCCGAGTAAGGTCTCAGAGATTGTAGCAATTTGGAGAAAAGATCTCAGCAAGGTAATTTCTAATTCACATATGTAATGTTAACTGAAACTATGGAACTGCCTGGCTTTTGTGGTTTGCAAGACATTGTGGGTCAGACCCTGTTCTCTATATATTGCCATGTCCAGGGAGCCAAAGGCATGTAGGTCATAGTTCAATTATATATTTCTTATGTGTTTTACTGTTTGCCCAGGTTAATCCAAAAGCTGCTGAATCATTGGCTGATCCCGAGGAGTATCCCAATTTGTTTGAAGACTGGCAAGTTGCACTTGCAGTTGAATCTAAAGCTGCAGAAACAAGGTTAAGAGTGTGGAAAAGCATATATACAAAAAAAACCGTATTTTCTTTATAGCTTTGATCATTATTATTGGCATTTTGCACAATATATTTACTGACTAATTAGTTATTTTGTTTATTATAGGGGTGTTTATCCTCCTGCAGAAGAGTACGTTAACCATGCTGCTGAATCTCGTGTTACTCTTGTTGAAGCATTCAGAAACATGCAGATTGAAGATGCAGAGGAGCCTCTTGAGAATGGGGACTCAAATCATGAGGTATGCTGATCACGTGAAGTTCACAAATAAATTTGTACTATTTCATTATTTATCTTCTAAGTAATGGGGAAGCAAATCCCTGTCTTTGTCCCTTTTGTTACAGCTGACTGAACAAAACGGAGAAGAGCATGTCACGGAGGAACTGAATGGAGAGGTAGGAAGCCAAGAGGAGGCAGTTGTAGTAGATGCTGATTCTGCAGATGGTGCGGTACTCGTTAATGGCAATGAGGCTGATGAACAGTGGGGTACGAATAATGAAGGAGCCCCGTCAGCCTAAAAGCAATTGGTTGGGGCAGTGTGAAAATCCAATTTTGTCTCTGGTGATTAATTGTTTCTGAAGTGCCATTTCTAACTCCCATTTCGTCAACTTGCTGACTTACTCCAATTTTTTTAATATTGAATCAACACTCAAAACACTATAATGTCTGCAGATGATGCTTCATTGTTATATTGCCCATGCAAGTATTTTTCCCCTTTCATCAAATCTTGGACGCACCCAACTTTGACTTGCCTATGGCAAACTTCCATACAACAGCTTTTGTTGAATCTGCAGACATTTTCACTTGATTATTTACCATAGCATTATTAGCCTGAACTATGAATGTCTGTGTCTTTATACTTGCATTTGTAATTTTGTTTTATTCAAATTTTCTTGGTCCTCACTCCACTTTCTTCTTTTCTGGCAGTGCTTACATCACATCACTAGTTAGCATCAAGGACAGTCGGTTCTAGCTCCTGGGAATATTTAAGGTTAGGAGAAGAAAAGAAGTTCTGAGGATGAGTGTCCACGTCCGGCTCTTGTATTGATACTTAGTCTCTACCAATTTGTAGTGGATGTGCTCGTAATGTGTTACACCTACTCCTTTTCTTGTATATTACCTTTTTTTCATTTTCTATGGTTTGAACTGCAGGTTTTCTGAAGGAGGCATTATTGTGCGGACTGGCCGTTTGTGTTTCCTGGTGTTGTGGTTTGGTAGTGCCCTGAGTTTGGTCATTTTGTACGTGGTATAATACTCTATCTCATAGGTTCAGGTAGTTACAAATTTACTAGAATTTATAGCAGATTCTTTTTGAGGCTTTTGACCTCAATGTTCTTGCGCCATTGTGAATTTAGTAAAGCGAAATTATGATTTGCGTGTTCGGGCTCTAGGTCGTTTTTCCCCCTCTCACAGAAATTTGGCTCATGCTTATGGATGTTTTACTTTTTGATATTTACTTGGATTGTAATCGTGGAATCAATAGAGAAAATAACCATTCTTCCCCGACATCTTCTGTCCGGTTTCTGTCCTGTGCTTCTCTCCACCGCGTTTCTATTACACTTCCTGAAATTTTTAGAATTTGTACTTTCTAAAGTGTCAACTTTAATTGATCAGTTTGGCATTGGCAAGTCTTCTAAAATCTTTAATTTGTATCTTTTGAAGTTTATACTTAAAACAATACTAACTTTGATCGTTTTTATAAGATCTTGTTTGTAAACTACAATCGAAGTCTTATAATTAGAACTGGAGGTAGTATCATTTTGTTTTGCTTAAGAAATCTGTTGATTCAAATGAATTTATGCACAGTTAAAAGTGAAGGATTTAGGTGATCCATTTCCATTAGGAGTTAGGACTGCAGAGTGCAGATGATCATGTTGCCCTTGTAGTCATCAAGATTCTGGACGGATCTCTACCGACGGTGAGTTGCTATTTGGGAATTCAGAGATGTTCAATCGTAAAGTGCTTTATATTGTACCCAGAAAAAAAAAAGTGCTTTGTATATAATAATTCAAGATAAGCTTAAAAATAATAAGTTCAATTTAACAATTCGCGCATCTCTACGAGTTATTTACGACAAAACTCTTTAATAAATTTTTTGGTTTTCAATTACAAGATAATTTTAGAAATCAATCAGTACAATTCAACAACTTACAAGTTATAATTAGCTGTTGATAACAGAATTTTTGTAATAAAGTTCACCAAAGCTGTGGGCATTTTATTTGAGATTTCCCATAGCAGGTGACTTTTAATTACATTTTTCATATTAGATATATTCATAATTGATGCAAAACAGTAAACTCTGATACAATGTTTGATATGTGAAAAATGTTTTCTAGCAAAGGAATAGAAAATATACAAATCCCATTTTTTAAATATAATTCTCATTTCCTTTTTTCCCAAAAAAAAAAATTCTACATGCCAAATATTACCTGAATATTTCCTATAAGTCATACACAGGTCAAATCTAAATCTAAATAATAAATACTACCTCCGGTCCTTAATATAAGACCCCGTTTGACTTTTTGTTTGGTCCTAATTATAAGACCCCAATCCATTTTATCTCTCATATTTATATATTTTTTTCCAAGATAACCCTTCTAATAATGATAGTTCTAGCCAACACACTTAATTAGCAAGGATATTTTAGGAATGACAACACTTATTTATTACAAATAACTAACTTAACTTACTTCCTTAATCTCCTCAAATAAGTCAACTGGGTCTTATAATTAGGACCGGAGGTAGTATAAGATAACATCAATCTTAGACAAATCTGTTGCACGAGCAGTTGGTATACGAAGGTGATATGTCTTATAGTTGCTTAACAGCAGCAGTTCATGCATATGACTCCTCCACTCATTTCATCCATGTGTCCTGCTAATATGGTGGGAAATGGTATTGTACTACTGTTAGACAAGATATAAAATTGAAAGAGGGCTTGAAAACAACCTATAAGAATAGATTCCCATAAGAATAGGACTATGTATCATCCTAGATTAAAGCATGGTAGATTAAAGATCAGTTACCACATATTTTTAATATTAGTGGTGGTTGAACTTGATCACCTTAATATTTCTCATATTTACCATTTTTTCAAACTAATCTATTCAATTTATAAATTGATATATAATCTAATGTTATGTCATAGTATTTTAGAAAGATCATGTCATATTTGTTATAATTAATTTGTTTGTTTTAATTTTTTTAATCTATTCAAATTAGTTAAGAAACAAGAGAGTATTAAATTCATGGAAATGAAATATTTTAAAAAAAAAATACAAAATTTCCAGCGCGAGGGTAATAGTTTCTTGTTGGGGAATTAACTTATTTAAACTTCTTTTTCTTTGGACATATCTAGGAAATAATCAACTTATTTTCATGATCATCACTGGTATACATAATTTAATATTATATTGAAATATTTTTAGAGAGAGTATGTACATTTAATATGATTAACTAATTTACTTGGCTTTCTCAATCCACCCAAATTAGTTAATTAAGTAACAAAAGAGAGTATCAAATTCATGAAAATCATTAAAAAAAAGAAATCATAAATTCTTGGAAATAAAATATTTTTTTAAGGAGTGTAAGAATTTCTTTTTAAGAATCGGCTTATTTAAACTTTTCTCTCTTTGGACGTGTCTGAGAAATAATCTTGTATTTTACTTTTTAAGATCTAAGCATTTTAGACGAATCAGATACTGTCGTATCCTAAGTCAAAATTCATATCTCATCCGCATCCACTCCTTTATTTTTTTAAAATTTTTTCCAACCACCAACCCCTTTCCTTTTTTTTTTTAATAAAAATAATTTGCCATCACATCCACTCCGTTCCATACATAAAGATTTTTGAGAAAGTAAATTTTTATTACTATAATTCACTTCAATTTTTAAGTTGGGAATTGTAATACTCCTTTAGTCTTAAATATAAGACTCATTTTGTAGTGTAATTTACACTACAAAATGGGTATTATATTTAGGACCGAAAGAGTATGTTTTTAATTGAAAAAAAAGGAAAAATCCATTACTATAATTCACCCCAACTATTTCAGAGTTAGTCCCTATATTATGCCACCATTAATATATTGGTCCCTCAGATTTACACATCAACAGGTTCCATTTATACCATGGAAACTTACTCTAAAGTAAGTTTTTAAATGTATAAGGAGTGCTTTTAAAATTTTTTTTTAATATAATAACCGATTTGAAATAAAAGGTCAATTATGATTTGTAAGTACTAATTAATACTAATTAATTTTCCCAAAAAAATTTTTATATTTAAAGATTCCAAAGCCCAAATTAGTTTTTTTTACTGGCAAAAACTGACTTTTTTTTTTGTTCAGAGCCCAACTTCTGAACCGAATCTCTGTCCGTAAGCCCTATTCAGTGATGTGTCTCTCTCTCTCCCAAATAAGAACCCTTCTGCTCAACTCGTCGCTAGAATGAAATGAGGGAGACACTGTACCTCGTCCCTCTGTCTTCCATATCCGCACATTGAAATTCCGAAATCTTGGAAGCCAGTTTTCTCTTTTTGGATTTCTCTCTCTCTCGTTAGCTAATTCTGTCTCTTCTTTCAGCAAAGCTTTCCTCCCGCCGCCGGTGACGCGCTTCTTGCTTCATCTGGTGAGTGTTTTTTTTACGAGCACTTCATTGTCCGAGCTCAGTTTATTATTGTTTATTGTATGTTATGTTGATATCCTGCTTAGTGATCGTGAAATGTTCCTCTCGTAGTTCGCTACTATGCGTAGAGTAGGGTTTTGGTTTTTTATTTGGTTTCTGGAGAAAATGAAGTTATGACTTTTAATTTTTATTTATTATGGTACTTTCTTGAGCATTTTATGCTTACTGTCGTATGCTAGTCCTTGGAGTCCAGTTGGTCTTGTTTTTCTCTACTTTAGTCTTTGATTTGTTTTTCGCCGGAATTATTAGTTTAACTAGGTATTAGAATTACTGTATTCTTTCAAGATTTGTTTGATACATTTGTTCTTTTAATGAAACTTCTGTTATATTTTGAGAGGATTGCGTGCTAATTCTTGCTCTTCCTTTGGTAATCTTTACCCTTTTTTGTTGGTACTTCTGTTGCCTCTCTTAGCTTATTTTTGCTTCTGACGTCTGAATTCGTACTTAAAAAGTTTATGCGATTGCTTTATCAGCTGGAAGGGTTTACTGAAGATTTGGAACTGATTCTATGAGTCCTGATTTTTCTGAAACCATTGTGAGAATGTTGGATTGTTGTCAATTCATATACTCATGTTTATAAATAATGATGATGATGCATCATCATTGTAATTTGTATATCTATTATGATATGTTAAAATTTCAAACTGAGTACAGAATAAATTTTTACATTTGTAAGTTCTTCCCCAACATAGTTGTACCATTTTCAGAAACAGTATGCAAACTAGACTTAATCCTACTTCCGCAATTTGCTACTCTTGAATAATTTTACTATTATTTGAGACTATACATCTTCTGCCACTTTATTGCTTTATTTAGTTGGTGATTTGCATTATTTACATGCTTAGATTGCTCAAGAGTCTACACATCCTTGTTATAATGTTGAACAGTTGGTTCAAATTGAATCTTATTTATTTTATTTTTATGTTTGGCCATTTGTTTCTCAAATTCAAAGAATTATGATCAAGATTGCAAGCATATCAAAACACGTGTTAAATGCGTTTTGTTGATCAGTATGTTATAATGTTGAATGATATGTGTAATTGCATGCTTGTGACCTCTGTGAGTAATAGAACCTTACTCTTGATTTCTGTGTAAGATTAAAATAAAACTCATAAGCTTAGATAGATAAGTTATAAAATTCTGTTTGAATTCTATTATAAAATATTATAATATTAGCATTCGGCAGTGCAGTAGTGAAAAAGTTTTCTATTTTAACATTCTGTTTATAGTACCTGATCACTTTGGGATTAGGATATATGGGACGCAAGACTAGAGAAACAAAAGAGCTCATTCAAATGTCCTGGACAGCCATGTCATGCTATAATGCGACAAATTATGAAATCCTGACCTTGATGACAAGAAATTTGTTATTAAAGTTTATCATTATAGTTTTGCCCAGAAAACCCTCGCTTGATTGGCACGTAGGGATGCTGTTTTATAGATGCATATTAACCAAAATATTATAGGAATCTGCCTTAGAGATACCTTGTTGATATGAGAGTCATTCTCCAGGGATTATTTACAATTTAATAATAAAGATATTAAACTGACAAAAACAAACAAATGAATGGATGCATATTTAATATCTATCAACAGTTATTATGACCTTTTATGTCTACTTCTGGGCCACTTCTTCTAAGGTCATATTGAAATTATGATATTTGGTGCACCGAACTAGAAAACGCACGAGCCTATTTGTCTTTGCCAACT